AGACACACAAATACTGGAACAAGGTTCAAAAGGTGTCAGGCTTTGGGTTTCCCACCATGATTTTATAGGCTCCGTCACAGTTTCTGGACTCTAGGTAATACCTGACTTAGGAACTGTATGATGTACATGAGTCATTTCTGCCTTTTTTTTAACCAGTGCTTCTTCCCTTGAGTGTCTAACTTGTGGACTTTGGAGAGGTGTAAGGGAAGTGTCAAGAGCACATATTAATTTGGTTTAACTGTATGTGCGAGATGGTGTTTTGGTTGAACTGTATTTGGGGACTGCGTAGTATGTATGTGTGTGGAAAGCGTGCAAGTAATGCGAGACGTGTGAGAATAATGGGTACATGTGTTAAGCATGCGGATTGTCATATAAGAAAAGGGTAGCGAATACTCAGCGCAGTCATCAGAGGTTGTGTCAACGGAAGGTTGGTGTATGCAGAGGCTGGTCATATCATGGCGTGAGTAGTCTGTGAATTATTATATATTTTTCTGTAGGGTTGATATCATCAAAGGTACATGTTACACTACTGTGCAAGTCTCAAGAATGAATCACAAAAAAATTGTTTCATAGCTGGCAGTCAAATGTATGTATGGCAGTCAAGAGTTTGTATTACATCGTGGTGACGATGTCGTGTTCAGATCATTATTGGCATATCACTTGTCTGTGGAGGATATTAAACGACCTTCCGTGTAATACCAATTTTATTAAACGAGTTAATGATTTGGTATCAAAGCAATTTTGATACTAAATCTTTTGAGAGTTTAATGAAAATGGTATTGCACAGAAGCGAGTTTAGTATTCTGTTTATTACTCTCCAACATAAATTGATAGAAACTGCCTATACGTAGTGTGATGACTCACAGCTTTCCACGAGTCAATCAAGGTTTAATACCATTGTGACAGAGGTATTAGCTCTGCAGTATCTTCCACAGGTGAGTAATAATGATTGTTATTCTAAGCAAAATGTAAACTAATCATGCTGTAAGTATAGTCATTCGTGAGTACATCATATACTGAGTCAAAAAAGAAACTTCACAAATGTAATTTGATAAATAATGAATAATTTTTCTCTGATGATACATCTATGTATCCAAAATGGGATCCCTATCTTTCGACTCTAGAAAAACGTTAGCAAAACCCACTCAAACCCATCCATTTGTCGTGCAAATGACGTTAGTGCCAAATCAGGTTTTGCACGTGCAGTCGATCACATGATCTTCGCATCGCAGTTTTCTTCATATGCACGTGTTTGCATTGGCCTCAAGAATTGAAAAAATACTTTTAAACCACAGTTCTAACGGTACTTGAAATGCCACGATTGTCAAATGTGCAACGTGAATGTGCCGTTGGCATGTTGCAAGTGGGAAGATCAGTTATTGACGTCGCAAGAGCAATGGGATGCAGCCGTCGTACTGTGTATGACTTTGCGAGGTTGTCTACAACAAACTGGCACCACTTCTGATCGCCCAAGGTCGGATTCGGTCGTCACGTGTGACATCACGAGCAGAAGACCGTCAAATCGTCCTACATCACCTCGTGACAGATTTCTGCCGGCTACACGAACCAGGGCTGAGATGTTTAGAGGTTGACTGTCCTCACAGACCATTCGAAATCGGTTGCGGGCTGCCAATCTCCATTCTCGACGTCCATATCGTGGGCCAATATTGACGCCGTTTCATCAACGTCAACGTCTGCTGTGGGCCCGACATCACCTCCGATGGACCCAGAGAGACTGGAATCGAGTTGTCTTTAGCGATGAATCCAGGTTTACCCTCAGATTCGCGGACGGCAGGCATAGAGTCTGGAGACGACGTCGTGAACGGTATGCCCAATGTTGTGTACAGGAAGTTGACAGATTCGGGGGCGGAAGTTGCATGGTGTGGGGTGCTTTCTGTGGGAACGACGGTTCCCGACTTCTGGTCATCCGTGGAAACCTCACAGCTGCTGCTTACTGCGACCAGGTGCTCACCCCTGAACTCGTTCCTTTCATGGCGGCTCATGGCCCAGGTCTACAGTTCCAGCATGATAATGCTCGGCCGCATACCGCGATGTTGACACGATATTTCCTTCAAAACGCTGGAATCAACGTCATGGACTGGCCATCGAGGTCCCCTGACCTTCATCCAATAGAGCACGTTTGGGATGCACTCGGGAGAAGGCTTCGTGGTCTTAGGAACCAACCTCAGAATTTGCAGGAACTTGGCGCTGCCTTGCAAGAGCAATGGCGCAGAATCCCCAACCACGTATTCACAAGCATGAGACGATGAGGAGACGGTGTTTGGCAGTGGTGAATGCAGGGGGCGGCCATACACGATATTGAACTGAGAAATTTCGCATTTTTATTCTTGTGACTTGACATTCTGTATACCCATGTTTTGGAACGGCGGTGTAGCCTAATGGAACTGATTATGGCACTGTCAGTGTATGGAGTATGATCTCAGCAATGAAATAATAACAATTTAACCATCTTACCATCTCTTGTTCTTTTATAGTGCCCTGAAGAAAGAATGTAAAGTTTCTTTTTTGACTCAGTATACTTGTTGTATGTTGATGATTATTGTGTTATCGTTCTGAGTATATAATACTCGTTGGTTTATGAATGACAAGGATATCAAATACATTATTTGTATAGTGCCTGGAACCTGAGTGGGACCCGTATGTAAGGGGTTGAGGCCTCGACAATTTGACCAGCAAGTGCAATGTCAGACTGACCAGCCAGGACATTGTCAGGATGACTGACCCGATGAGGATCAAAGGTCTGTGTGACCTTAGTTCAAGTGGTGACAGATCCACATGACCATTGACCGAGTATGACATGTGATTTTCTCATCTTGGACTGAGACCAGCATGACCATATTTGGACCCTGTGCCTGTGACCCATAATTTTGTAATAAATTACTTTAATTACAGTTGTGCCGTGTGTTATTCATCTCGTGTTGTAACAGGAAGTCTTAATAAAATCTGGAGCTGAGCAGCCAGGCACAGGGCAGTCTTCCCTTACTCAACCCATCTTAATGCATGAATTTCATTTTCAAACTAATCCTATTTATAGTGTGACTCGCACATGGCTCCCTATGACTGCCGATTGGCCCACGAGTATACACTAAATGGCTCCAATTTGGCCCTCTATGGCTGTCGAATGTCCCTGCCTAAATATAAATGGCCCTGAAATATGTACAAATGCCCATGAGTATGGCCCTCAGTGCCCTGAGTGAGGCTGATAAACTTAATATAGATAAGGTAGGGTGATCAAATCATTTTGGATGACTTTATTGGAAGACATATTTGTCTCAGCATATTTTAGAAGGATTAGAAACAGTTAAAGTTCTGTCACTTTCAGGTGCCAAAACCATGTTTTTGACAGATTCAAAATTGATAAGTAAACTGTTTACAAAGTTCAGTGTGAATCCTCAAGCTTTGCACATTTCTTTGCCTGATTTGGGGCAATAAGCATAATGTTTAGGCCCACTACTGGCAAATGTTTGAATAGGGTCCCCTTCCAGCTCATCAGTCAGTTCACCTAGATAGTCACCCAATTATAGGTGGATTTCCATCACCAGGTCTGGACACAAAGATGACTGAATCAGTATCATAACAGAGTACTCTTTTTTGCAACATGTCTAACATGGAATACAGTTTTAGCCTTCCATAAAAGGTGGTGAAGGTAGCAATGAAAATGTTGGTGACATCACTTTCAGGAATAAATGCCAAATTTCATGTGTCCAATGAAACTGGGCTACATTGTCATTCAAAATATGAAAATCATGTAGTTTCTTTATTTGGTCTGTGAGTAACATGTACAATTCATCTAATTTGCTACTGTGCACAAACTTCCTTTGGGTCATGTTGGAACGTTGTGCATATTTGCCCCCAAAAGAATTCAACATCAATTTTGCTCGAGCTCTTAAACATGGATTCTTGTTTATTTTGTTGTAGTCTAACTGAATGCCTTTGTGAGTCAGATAGTCAGACAGATAGATCTAAGATCTAAGGTGAACTGAAAAGTTTTGAGATCTGGCCCCGATTTCTCGAAACAAACTTCAGTTTTTACTCAAATCTCAAACTGAGTTTGACAATTTGAAAAAGCTGAATTTTTAACTCAACTGCATTTTTAAAATATAAAAGCCCAAACAGCTTAAGTAATCTATCCACCAAACTCAAATTGTCCACTATCTTTGAGTGTAATATCGATTTCAGTTTATTCTTGGCAGTGCATTTTCCTGCATTTCTCAAATTTGAGTTTAAGTTTGTTTCGAGAGATCAGGGCCTGGTTTTGTGTTGACTTGAGCCTTGAACTCGTGCTCCCAAATCGTTACTCAGTTGTACCCTTGTCTGATGGGTACCACCATCTGATGATGTCATTGCGCTTCATGGTCAGTGCAAGACAGTGGTGTCTCTGTCAAGAGGATAGCAGGTGGGACACCTATGAAACTGACACCCATCAAACTGATAGACTGTATTGGTGGCCTGACAATATCCGTCCACCTTGTATTTAGTACCAGGCATTTGGAATTCTCCATCATTCAAAGCATGCTGGATGTCAACCACGATTGTGACAAATCCACTTTAGCCATTGGAGATCTTACTAAACTGATCTTTTGAGTATCCATTTCCAGGCACTTTGGCAATGAGACTGGGTAAGGTCTCTTTTTCATGAACAACAGCCCCGGCATTCTGTAGACTCGGTGTCATCTCAGGACGCCGACCTTTCGATTTTCCACTAGTCTCAGGACACCAACCTGCGGTTTCCTTTGAAGGTTAGGTTCTCATTAGGCATAATTAGCGTTGCGGATAATCTACTCTAGATGTTTGGATAAAGTGAACTCGTCGCACATGTTACTTCCAATTGATTGAAAGGTTTACAATAACACTTAGCAGAGTGCCAATATTGAACACTGTTCATATCTTTGGTATAAATATCTATGGAATGGCCAAAGGATTCACATTCGATTTCGAAATGGCAAATGCACAGCTTGATCAGAGATTCATCCCTACAGCTCACGGCAGTCGTTACTTGGTTGTTGGCGGGTTCATGTACAGAGTCAGCAAGAGAAAACAAGACAGGATATCTTGGATATGTACTGCAAAACACTGCAAATCCACAGCATCAACAACGAATGACATTGTCACCATGGGGTAAGATGAACACAATCATCAAACTGTCATGAGTGATATTAAGGTAAGAGTTTAAATTCTTATATATGTATAAATATTATTCAGGGATTGCCACAGTTTTGTCGATTTTTTTAACAGTGTTTCAGTAAGATGCTTAATAAATGGAAAAGTTTGGAACCAAATGGTTAATGTTTCTTTGTTGGACCCAAATGGTTAATAATTCTTTGCTTTTTTTGTAGGTGAAGGAGATGCTAGAAAAGCTGAAGGTGAAGGCAGCTTCGACCCTCCAGCCCATGCAGTGCCTCTACGAAGAAGGCCTTATCGACATGAGAGATGGAAGTTGGAATGATGAGACCAAAGCCATGATTGCTGCCATGCGCACCTTCCCCGATGCCCGGAGCTCTCTCTACAGAGCCAGGCGAGCAGTGATGCCACCACTTCCCCTCAGACGAGAAGACCTAGTCTTCCCTGATGAATACAAGACGACGATTTCTGGCGACCCCTCCCTCCTCGTCGACGACAGCCATGACAAGAGAATCCTTGGGTTTTCCACCGCCGATAACTTGCGTTATCTCTGCGAATCAGACACCATCTACGGAGATGGCACATTCTACGTGGCCGCCAACCATATTTCACCAGTTGTACACTATCCATGGCATGGTAGATGGGAACATGTTTCCTTTGGTATTCTTCTTCCTGCTAGATAAGAAAGAGGATACTTACACCAGGATGTTCAGACTACTTGTCGATGCAGCCGCGATCAGAGGTCATCATTTGGATCCACAGAAGATCCAGGTAAATACAAATGAATGCTTTTTTTTGTTTTTATTTCGGAGAGAATAATGCAAATTACATGCTTATTTTAAACCCATGCATGCACAGTTTCTGTCCATTGTTGTCAATATTTGTATCATGATGTTCCAATATTTTGTTGCAGATGGACCATGAGGTTGCCTCCAGAAACCCCTCTGCGATCGTGTTCCCCCGAAGCGAGTGGAAGGGCTGCTTCTTCCACTTCACCCAGTGTGTATGGAGGAGAACCCAGCAGCACCATCTCCAGAAGGCCTACCAGGACGATGACGAGATCAAGAGGTTCGTCCCGGAGATGTGCCGTCTTGCCTTTGGTGCCAACACAGGAGGTAAGTTATTTTAAAACAAATAGTTAGCTCCACCCCAATAGGTTGTGTAATAAAGGTGTTATTTTGTCACGAGAACAGACCAACACCGAAAACAAGCTGGTCCAGTATGCCGCTGGCCAGAAGCGTCCGTCCAAGAACAGGAAATACAGGGATTTGGAGCGACCACTGGATGACATCTGTCACCAGCTTGAACAAGGAACACTGTCCGTGAGGCAGTTTGCTGATTCAGCATCCCACCTATTGCATTTAGATTAAAATCTGTGAAAAAATGTATGCTATATGAATTTACGATGTATTTATTTAAAATGCTAAAATCTGTCAACTGATAAAAATCTGTCATCTCTTGTCATCTTCTCATTAGGTGCGCTCTCATTGCATAATCCGGATTATCCTCCTCTAACAACTCTTTGATCCTGCATTGTCCTCGTAATCCATTATTAATTGACAAAATGAAACTAGTCTCAGGACGTCGACCTTTATATTTCACTCAACCGTAAAGTTTGGTCGAAAGGTCGGCATTATGAGCCTGAACCGTAGACTTATCCATGTCAACCATTGACCAGGTTTGATTTTCATGCTCTTTGACGGGGAACCATGAAGTGACAGTTCCTTGTCTGTCGGGTCGATCCCTGGTTCAACTGTCATTTGATTTGTTTGAGGATCTAGACAGTGACTCAGTGACAGACATTAATAGATATCTAAAAGTCGTCACAGCCTCCCTCAAAATGTGAACATCAGACCGACAGTAGTCTTCCATTTCTTGAGCAAAGTTAAACACTTTGTCTTTCTGAGCTTAGTACCAGTTAAGAAACTTTCTCCTGGCTTCTGTAGACATACTGTCCACTCCATAGAAGGAGGGGTCGGGATATGGACCTCCATAACATTGATTCTCACATGTATTGAAATAATTAGGGAAATATCCTTTCTTGAGTTCTTCCAGATGAAACATTTTTGGAAGATCAGCTAACGATGTGTTGAAATACCAAAGGGTATCCAACAGATGGTTATTCATACCATGTGAGACATACATGTACATGATCTTGGATCCATTGTACGCGATATTGTCTGGAAGAATAGTTTTGAATTAAATATTTCAATGCAGGATAAGAATCATATCCATGAAAGTTGTGAGCAAAAACAGTGTAATCTCTATGGGCCTTGGTAAAGAGCCAAGAACAAACCAAAGAGGTTGTGTCCGAACCGAACCGAACCAAACTTCACTTTCCTCCGGACACAGGATCCATGACTTGTAGGTATTTTGAAACATTTTCTTTTTTCACCCCATTTATTACAGACCTGACATCATGAGCCACAAGTGTTACAAGTACATCCAGGTGTAAAAGGTTTATTTTTGCACAGATCACAGACTGATTGTGCAATGACAAAGTTGGGAAGATGTGTGGGTTGTCCACAAGATGGATTGTGACAAGTACTACAGATACTATGATGGGTTCAAACATCCTTTCCTGTGCAATGGGTACATGGAACTGGTGAAATACCCATCTTTACAAGTGGTCACTTCGTTTTGACTACATTCAAAGTCAAACATGATAAACTTTTTGTAAAAAACTGACTACTTTTGCTCGTGATTCTGAGAGGCATCTCTTGCACGCGTAACAGGGCTGTGAGGACAGTTTGTTTGTCTGTGACAAGCAGAGGGAGGAAAGTAGATCTGTTTCAACACGATAGCACACCTATTATATGTACCCATACGTTCGTGTTCATTAAAAAAATACCTACACGAGGTAAATCTCCATTGGGGGCGGTGGGCTAGCCTAATGGTTAAAGCGTTGGCTCGTCACGGCGAAGACCAAGGTTCGAATCCCCACATGGGTACAATGTGTGAAGCCCATTTCTGGTGTCCCCCGCCGTGATGTTGCTGGAATATTGCTAAAAGCGGCGTAAAACCAAACTCAGTCAGTCAGTAAATCTCCATTGAATAAGCTTTCAGAAAATATTAAAATCAGCCATAAACAACAACCACTGGGAACAGTTTACCTCGTCCCATGCGATTGTGGACAGACCTACGTAGGGGAAACATCAAGACCCCTCAAAACACGAATCAAAGAGCATCAGACCTCAGTCTCTAAACTTGACTCAAAATCAGCCCTATCAGATCACATCAAAGACAATCCCAACCACAGTATCCAGTGGGACAGAACCCAAACCCTAACATCCAACCTCAAAGACTTTAAACTCAGGAAACTCCAAGAAGCCATCCACATCAAAAGACTCCAGCCATCAATCAGCCGTGACCAAGGTTATTACATACCTCCTGCATACTAACAACTCATTATTTTTAAGATTCTCAACCTATGACAAGCCCCAGTTTATGTATACCACAGGCTTCACTATTCCACTGTGTACTTTTCAGGCTTCATTTGTTAACGCTTTTATCAAAGCCCTTGTGTTGTTATTGTGTCTGGCTTCCTAATGCCTATTGTACTGTATACACATCTACTCTAACTTGTATATATGCTCCTCCATCCTTATGCTGTTCATCACTTGCCTCATAACGGTGTTAGAACCTACACTAAAACGTCGCTCTCACAGCAAAGAAGTTGTTCATCCATATATTGTTATCCTTTCTTACTGCCCCAACTTCTAAATGCCTCTACTTCCAAATGCCTCTCAAAGAAGTTATCGTTGTATCTTTGGTGATGAATTTATTCCGTAGTTTAGCACTCACAACAAAAAAATTGACATCGTAGCACTAGTTCAAATTTAGGAATATCTGCTAAACTTGCAGGCCGGTCCTTTATTACACCTGCTTTATCACAGAAGATCTGAGCAAAAGTGGTTTGATTACACAATGCCATTTAGAAAGTGGTCAAATGTAACATACACTAAAGCCAAAAGAAACGTTACCCTCCTATCTTTATGAATTACTAAAAAATTATCAAAGAAGTGTTAGAAGGTATTAGTTTACAGGAAAGCTTAACAACACAGCTTTATGCAAATGACGAAAATACATTCTCAAATCCATTCAAATTTAGGTGAAATACATCTTTTTCAGAAGAGTTAAATTGTCCTATTTTCATCCATGCCGAAATAAAACAATAACAGTGATTTTGATGTCCAAAAGAAAGGTTGAAATAAAATTCTGCTTTGGGACAATGATAAACCATTTAGTCACCATTTTTCAACTATTAAAACAAGAAACAACTGTTGTAGGGTGTGTAAAATTGTAAAATAATCATTCCTATGATTTCACTCTTTTAAAACATTTTCTGCTGATTTGTATTCGTGAAAACAAGTAAAACATGTCTTTGATATTGTGAAAAATTGTTTAGGAACATCTAAAATTATCTTTGTTAACATTTTTGCTTACAAAGTAACATTTTTCCATTTCTTTTTACACATACAAATATCAATCGCCAAAACACAGCAATATTCAAGCAGTATTTACATCCATTTCAAATGTAGAATGATTCTATAGGGTATGAAGAGAGCCAAGAATACGTGATATGATACACCAGTACGAAAAATATGCCACGATTAACAGCTGAAGAGAGAGAAAGAGCCATTGGGATGGTGCAGATGGGGTCGACATACAATGCTGTTGCCAACGCCCTCGGTTGCCACCGTATCACGGTTATAAGACTTATTCAGGGCTTCAGACAAACTGGGGTCACAGTAAACAGACCAAGAAGTGGACCCCCACGCATCACAATGCCAGCTGAAGATAGGTACCCCCGTCATTAAGGAAGGAGGGTAACGTTTCTTTTGGCGTTTAGTGTATGTTATATTTGGGATTACACTTTCTTCAGACTTTGTGTACCCCTCTGATAAATGTGAATTGGCACAGCTCCCACGGCCGAAAGCTATGATTAAACAATGCCATTTAGAAAGTGGTCAAATATAACATCTGTTGTATTTGGGATTACACTTTCTTAGTAAAGTACAAATTCTAGTACTTTTTGGGGTTGAGTCCCATCCAGGATTCGAACCCACACCCTCAGAGTCAGGCACCTAATCGCTAGCACACAAAGTCAGCGGCCTAACCTTCTCAGCCACCACGACTTCCACAAAATAAAAGTCGGACAACTGGTAGTCTAGACTGCGGACTTTGTGTACTTCTCTGATAACACAATGCCATTTAGAAAGTGGTCAAATGTAACATATGTTATATTTGGGATTACACTTTCTTAGTAAAGTACAAATTCTAGTACTTTTTTGGATTGAGTCCCATCCAGGATTCGAACCCACACTCTCAGAGTAAGCCACCTATTCGCCAGCACACAAAGTCAACCACCTAACCTGCTCAGCCACCACGACTTCCACAAAATGAATGTCGGACAACTGGTAGTCTAGACTGCGGACTTTGTGTACCCCTCTGATAAGTGTGAATTGGCATGGCTCCCACGGCCGAAAGCTAGGATTACACAATGCCATTTAGAAAGTGGTCAAATGTAACATATGTTATATTTGGGATTACACTTTCTTAGTAAAGTACAAATTCTAGTACTTTTTTGGATTGAGTCCCATCCAGGATTCAAACCCACACTTTCAGAGTCAGACACCTAATCGCTAGCACACAAAGTCAGCCACCTAACCCGCTCAGCCACCTACGACTTCCACAAAATGAATGTCGGACAACTGGTAGTCTAGACTGCGGACTTTGTGTACTTCTCTGATAAGTGTGAATTGGCATGGCTCCCATGGCCCAAAGCTATGATTACACAATGCCATTTAGAAAGTGGTCAAATGTAACATATGTTATATTTGGGATTATACTTTCTTAGAAAATGTAATTTTTAGAGTAAAATTGATATTTTATACTTATCCTGACTCATGCTTATTGCTTGTCTTCTTCTTCTTGCGAACATAGTGGAACACGTGTATCTCCCAATTGAAGTTCCCTTCAATTAAAAAATCACTAATTAGCACCCACCACGAGTTACCTCCCTTACACAACCGCGTGAACGAGGGCGCCACCTCAACCCATGTGCCTCACTCTCTCCTCATATACTGAGCCCAACACTTGAATTTCCAGGAAATCCAAAGTGTTATGTGGGAGGATGGGAGGGCTTATTCATGAGTCAGGATAAGTATAAAATATCAATTTTACTCTAAAATTACATATTTTTCCTTATCCTGACTCATGCTTATTGCTTGTAGAACTGAACGGAAAAGGAGGTGGGAATATATAATACTTTGGATTTTAATAATTAGTGATTTGAACTGTGATGATTGTAATAACCCTATGGGAACTTCATAAAGGCACTGAACTGATGAATTCCTGCTGCTAACTTATCAGCTGCCATATAAAGGTTATTACAATTTACTTATTATGATAAAAGTATATATAACATTAATACAATGCTTAAGACTAATAGACTTAAGCTTGTTAATATGATAGCATAAACTCCTTAGAGTTTTTTAGCTAATATACTTTTATGAAGTAAACATAGTACTAAGCTTAAGATATGAATAAAACTTAAGCTATATATATAATAGCAAAACTTCGTAGAGTTTGTTAGCTAATATATTTATGATATGAGTATAGTACTGTGCTTAAGATATAATTAACTTAAGCTACCTAAATAGCCAAAAAAACTCCGTAGAGTTTGTTAGCTATTACATTTTATAATGTAACCATAATGCTTAAGATATGATGAAACTTAAGCTAAATATATAATAGCAAAAAACTCTTTAGAGTTTGTTAGCTAATATACTTAAATGATATAAACATAGTACTGAGCTTAAGATATGAATAAACTTAAGCTACATATATAATGTCAAAAACTCCGTAGAGTTTGTTAGCTAATACATGTTATAATGTAACCATAATGCTTAAGATATGATGAAACTTAAGCTAAATATATAATAGCAAAAAACTCTTTAGAGTTTGTTAGCTAATATACTTATATGATATAAACATAGTACTGAGCTTAAGATATGAATAAACTTAAGCTACATATATAATAGCTAAAACTCCGTAGAGTTTGTTAGCTAATATATTTTTATGATATGAGTATAGTACTGTGCTTAAGATATAATTAACTTAAGCTACATATATAATAGCAAAAACTCTGTAGAGTTTGTTAGCTAATACATTTATAATGTAACCATAGTACTGAGCTTAAGATATGATTAACTTAAGCTAAATATATAATAAACTCCTTAGAGTTGTTAGCTTATATATTGTATGATATAATAACCATAGTACTGAGCTTAAGATAATAAAAGAACTTAAGCAAAATATATATAGCATGTAGCTATTTAGTACTGTTATAAGATAAGTAGAAATCTGTAAGAGATTGACTTATCTTCTCCGAGGAACTGTCAACTGTTGTGCGAGGACCATGGGACCTAATTGGTGGATACCTGAGACGCCCCTCGTGGTGATATCTCTCAGATAGTGGTTGGCAAACACCATATCGGATCTCCAGAATTAACCCTCCATTATGGTATTTCAATAGCACTTGTCGTAGAGCAAGTGTAGATGTTAGCCTAATATCATGAGGATTAGAAGCTCTTGGAGGGTCGAGTCCTGCAGTCTTGTAGGCACGAGTATGACAGTTCTGATCCAAAAGGAGATAGTAGTACGTGAGACTTCAGTCTGGCG